TATTTATGTTCTCTGAGCTGGATAGTTTAGTTCATCTAGACAACATAATTTCCTGTTATTGCGGTCAAGTTTCAATATTTGGACATTTCGAAAGTAACCACATTTATTAGCCAATACATAAAAGTACTGACAAGTGCAATAAATAATCAAAGCAAAATTACAGAAAACAATCACAATGGTTATGAATAAAAATCAACCAAATTTCAAGTTAACAGAACGAACTGTTAATCAGTTGTGGAGATCCTAATAGTTCACTTCACTTTAAAATTAATACACTTAAAGATAATAAAAACCTGATAATTCAATAATTCAGCTCAGAGAACATAACTTCTTCAATAGCTAATTAATACAATGGTTTGATCAATTAGTCGAAACTGGTATGTGTCATGTCTAGTACTTAGTTCTGAATGAATGTTGTTGGTTGTTATTTTGTTACGTAACGATTAATTCAATCGACTCATGATCTCAACTATTGAAATTACTATAATATCCACAAAACCGCTTCTGATACTAATCATCATATGCTCACTAGTGACTTGCTTCAAGAGGTATATCCTCGAGTTCTAGTAAGAAGCAGTGACCAGTGGGTTTCAACCGAGTCTGTTGTGAGATAGTAACTCACTGAAAACAATGGTGGATATGTCTCTCAATTTCGTGGATTAGTTGAAGCTAGACATTAACACCGTTGGATACCGACCGACTCAGTGGTGTAATGGTTAAGCGTTCGCGGGAGAGATTTATATGTCCTGGGTTTGAATCTCGCTAGACGGGGTCGTGGATGCGCACTGTTGAGGAGTCCCACAATAGAACGAAACGCCCGTCCAGTGCTTCCAGGTTTTTCATGATGGTCTTGCTTCAGTTGACTCATAATCTCAACTAATGAGATTAATTTAAAGTAAATTACATGGTATTTATTCACACTCGTACTTATTTCTATTTATATCATCTATTTATAACCTATCTATTAGTTTCGCTACCTCTATACCTTATATCAAGCAAAAGTTTCTAAACATGATGAACATGGTGTATTGTGTAAATTATGTTTTTTGGAGATTCATGAGAATGTCATTTGTAAGTTCCAGAAATATTTAAAGTTTAGTATGATAGAAATTTGAAACTTAACCCATCGACAATATACTGAATAGAAGTAATTCCTTTAAATTTGATATATCAATTGGATATTAATTAAATTGTTACTATTTTTATAATTTGAAGGATTTCCATTAAATTACAATATGTCTGATAAAATGTACTTATTATCAGATTACATGTACATTTACAAATTTAATAACATATATGTTGAAATATAAATAATGGTAGTTCTTTAAAGGCTAGTTTATTTATTATTTATAGTTATTATTGTATAGATAAAGATGGATAATGACTAGCAGTGGGATCAAGAACGCGCATTTCATCCTATTTGGGACTCGTCAGCTAGATGTACCTGCATCCCAGAATTGATGTTCATTCCGGGACTTGATTCACTATACATCTTTGCTTAAAACCTTTGTGACTTAAAGCTATATTAAGGCAATTTGCACAGCATATACATATGCCAACCAGAGAATGATCAATTGCAATGTTAAATAACAATAGGAAGATACAAGTAAAACCACACCAAATGAATTTTATTGTATTTGTAGTTGTTAAACACTTATTTTTTTTAAAACTGTTAATTAATTCTATGAAATTAACAAGTAATAAGAATGTAGATTATAGTCTCCATATTATTATTATTAAGTCGTTTAACGTTCCATTCTAACATAATCTTTCATGAATTTAATTAAATTCTATGTTGGACTCAGTGACAGATTTTTTTCTATCTACCCCTATATATATATCAGTTAGAAACGATGTGGACATTTATACAGATCATGGATAGTTTTGAATATAGATTGACACTATTAAGAAGAAAAATTCCGTGAACACTGATCAGCAAGAGATCTGTGAATTTTCACTTAGTAATTAGAATTTATTTTTGTTATTGGTTGCTAGTGTTTTGTAATAGACATAATAATCTTGTAATTATTCTGTTTCAAGTAATTAAACAATTATTACGTGTTGGAGATTAGAAAATATTTTATGTTCTGGAGTCTGTAGTATCTATCAGATAGTACTATTTAATAATGAGATCTACATGTTGTTTTTTGATATGTAGTGTCAGTTACTATGTTAAGCCCATATGCCTTACTGTAATTAGCTATTGGACAAATCAATCTATTCATTTTAGTTGAGTCATTTTGACCGTGTTAATTATTCGCTTACCAATGTTGACTGTTTTTATATGAGCGTATATATGCGTGTACATTTCTTATTCTATTCACCACATGTCTGTAACTTATTTTTGTGTGACTATAAATATTGATTATTGCTGGGTTAAATGGGAGTTGGCTTATCCGTCATCTTCACTGCGCGTCGTTTCTCTCCTCTCTATTCCATTCGCTTCATATACAAAATATATGTATTCAAAAGTCCATTTTCGTTATTTGACTTATTTAATTCCGTTATTGACTAACGCGGATTAAGTCGATAAAGACATACGAGGATAGGCGACATATACAATTCAATAACAATCATTCATGCAATCATCTTGGAGTCAGTTTTAGTCACACACATTTCAATGAAACAGAAATGCTTACCATATACATATATCTTAAATTGACAACCTATGGATATCAGGGGTACAGAAATAATAACTGACATAAAGCAAGTTTTTTTATTCTATCAATATCTATAATGACTATGTGCATATACAGAATAAAACAAACGGAAATGAATATAAAAACATTCTTTTATGATATAAAGTACATAAATAATTTACTATTAACATAGGAAATACTTAACTCAGGTGGTCCTATCAGCTTAATCATAAATGAATTGATATGAATATGGAAAATGAATAATGTCTTTTGTACTTTAATGTCTTATTTCTGTGACCACTGGAGTTAATCCCTGTCGGGCAGAGACAGGTATCTACCTCAGTATAATGGAAGATGGTCGCGCAATTTCGTGGATTGGTTGAAGTTAGACATTAACACCATTGCAAGCCGGGTGTCTAAGGGGTTCAGTAGGTTAAGCGTTCGCTCGCGAAACTGGATCGTGGATGCGCACTTCTGAGGAGGCCCACAATAGAACGAAACGGCCGTCCAGTGCTTCCAGGTTTTCAATGGTGGTTTAACATCAATCGGTCCATGTCCTTAATCAAAAAATAGCTTTTTACTTAGCTAACCTATTCTATGAGCATAACAAGATTTACGGATTATTCACATCATTTTGAGTCATTAGTTTGGTTAACGATGAAGGGTAAGTGAAGATTTTGAAAGAAAATTATTCAGCGGTTATATTATTATGTATTCATAGCGACGTTTAGTGGAGGGTATCTATAGTGACATAAAACAAGAAAAAATGGATCAATGAGCAAACATTTTTACAATGAATCCATTCTCAAAGCTGCACAAATACATGATATGGTAATCAATAAAGTATTTATTCTCATTTGTTATTACTCGACACTTAAACGACTTGTAAATTCTTCTATAATACCTTGTATTTTTTGCTATTCCCTATCATTCTTTCGTAGGAGTTTGGGAAAAATGTTTTGTTATGTTGCGAAGAGCGCTGAAGGTACTTACTAAGTCGTGTGGTTAATCTTTCATATCATTATGAACACAGTTATGGATAAATATCTGAAATCTTGCAAAGCTCTGGTAGACATTATTCTATCTGATACTAACCGTTCATTCAATTGACACCTTTCTTCTAGTAGATCGAGACACAGATACATTGAAATCCATGCATCTGGGCAAAAGTAAAAAAGCTTTATAACACCATATCAAGTAAATATACTATGGAATGAACAGGTTGTAAGCGTTGACCTGATCAGAGAATAATATTCTTGAAGATGATGTTAATTAAAAGTTGTGTAGAATTTTCTCTTAAAAATATTTTATTTAGTTCTACATAATTTATTCACTTCTTTGACGCATAGATGAAGAGGAACTTGCCGAAGTATTGAATACTGAGAACTCCATATTATACAAAAGGTATTATTATTATCACTTTATCCAAAACATATAAACAAAGGGGTACAGTAAAAAAAGCATTAAAATACCCTACGCTTAATATTACAATAAAAATTCAGTTGTTAATGTATTAGAAATCACTCAAGAATCCTTTAATATTCTATAACCCTAGTTAGTTGTGAAGTCCATTGGGCAAGATAATAAAGTAAATCGTTTATGCATATGAAATACGATAAAGAATACAACTCACTACATTTGATACATTTTTATTAACCTGGTAGGTGACTCAGTATAATGAATTTGTGTCGATCGAGGAGTCTGTATTCACAAACTTTTATAATACTAACCCCCTCATGGATCTAACTTGCCGTTATCTGAAGCATTAAGGATGTGGCTATTGAAACCCCTTAGATAATGTATGTATCAAACGACCTATATATTACGTGATTATGCATCTTTGAGGATGAATTGGCTGATGAGAAAATAATGGAAATCCACTAACTTCTTTGAGTGAATTAATCTTTCAACTCTTCAGCACTCATGAATAAAACACGCCTGATACTCATTACAAAACGTTATATTCATGTGAGAAAGCATGAATTGCCTGTCGTATTGTGAATTTGTTTTAGCACAATCCATTTACTACAGAATGTCACTAGATAATAGTCTGTTTTTCTACCTAAAAGTAATGAAATAAATAGAACAATTTAGACGGACACATCACTTCATATTATACGCTGTATCTTGTACGTTGATGAATGAAACTTATAGAAAGATAGGTTTACTGAAATCGGAAACATTAGTCAATAAAATAAAACTAGCTTAAATCTACTAGTAAACTCAACTGTTAAAAAGTATTTGAGCCTCTGCAAATCTCTTTACTGAGAATAAAACTGGTTCCATTAAAAAAACGTTTAGACACTTGAGTTTACTTACTATTTTTAAGTAGTGTAAAGAAACTTCGTGAAAGTCAATTACCTGTGATAGTTACTCTCCAACTTGAGTTCAATTCACAGTTTGTTTCCAATCTTTGAGTAGATACTTGTAGTTCTGGATACAGTCTACCGATCTGTTCAGTGGAATATTTTTCATCACTTGGTATATTGATTTTATCGTTAAATTCATTGGGTATGGATTGTGTAAACGTTAGTCCGTTTAAACAAGCAGCAGTGTATAATAAGGAATGATTGATATCTATATATAAGTTGAATGAAAAGAGATTACCTATACTAACAAGTTTGAAGAATATGACTGACGACTGAATAATGCCCTAAAATTTCCAAATGACTCACCAATCCCACATCTTGAAATGTCATGAGATGTAACATCTACTGAATGTACCTTAATCACAACTAGAGTGAAATTTGTTTCAATAATTCTCGAGCTAAAACTAATAATTATACTATAACTTGAATCAACCATGTATATGCATTTATTTTATAACATACAATTAATATGTAATGTTTTCACTCAGAGATAGTTAACTATTTTTAATTTTCTTTTTCACTTCAGATTTATTTTCACAACAACGGTAGCTGCTTATTTCGTTTGAGGTGTGAAAGGACAGATAAGATGGCTGTGACCATGAAGTTATTTTTTAAGCTTATCAGACTAATCTTAATCTCAAGGCGTATATTGCTATTAATCGTTGTTAACTATGCTTCCTGTAATATGCGAATGCATTCTATCTGCTTACTGATTCGTCGATTCACTGTTCTTTTGCTCTTTTACAAGCTTATCTGTTTCTGAGTATGTTGCTCTTCAGGCTCCCCAAGGATCAATACTACATTCAGATTAGCTGTTAACGTGCTGATTTGCAATAACGGAATCAATAATTATTAGGAATCAAAGTAATTCGAGCATTAGGACAGTGTTTTGTCTTTGATGATGAACGGTGTTACAAACTTACTGTCAAAACAATACAAACATTAGTAAATATTTTTCTTTACATATTTCTTCATGAAAAAATTGCAGTAACATCATATTTCAAAGCAAAACGCTTTCTTATTTAGTCGGTATGTTCTTGTCTGGATCCCAATTTATCTCTCAGTTCAATACAAAATAAAACATCGATTTCGATATGTTTATTAAACGTATAAAGGGATATTTCCTACCATAGATTTATCATATATTTGTTACCTAAATCTCAGACAATTACAACTGATTTAATTGAACTAAATTTTTAGATAGCCTATTCTTATCTAAGAAGTTTGTTCAATGACTTATGGAAATGTTTAAAACACAGAGATCATGGTAAAGATTAATCACAAGCATAATCTTGATATTGATTGTAATAAGTGTTGCCTTTGTCACAGAGTAACGTAAAGTAGTATAGCAACTCACGTTCAATTGAGTTTGCTCTCACCTAATTCGGTTAAGCCCTTTTATTAACTTATTAAACGGACAAAGTCAGCTGCACTATAATAACTTATTGTACCTTTATGATTGTTATGCTTGTACGAACATATATGTTCGGCAAGCCTTACTGCCTACGCATTTATTCACTCTACTAGCTTTACTATTAACCGCTTAATTGACTCGATGATTCATTCATTTCACTATGTATATATATATGTCCATGTTATTCATATTCATTACTCGCTCGCTCGCTCGTTCATTCACTTGCTCGATCGCTCGCTCGTTCATTCACTTGCTCGATCGCTCGCTCTTGCCCTTGCTCTCTCTCACCCGCTCGCTTGCCTGTTTGTCTTTCGGCACAACTATTTCATGCTTGCTTAACGCATCTGTAATTTTGGATATCTGTGTGTGATCCTATAATAAACGTAGTTAACACTTCGTTTTCGCCTTCTGATTAATATACCGTTGGAGCATTATTTAGTGACGGTTACCGAGACGAACTGTATACGGAGTTTAAGGAATATATCGAACACCGACTACCACAGTATAGTTTTCATATTTAATCAAGCTTTTATTGAAGTTGCCATAACCAAGGTGTATACAGATAAACCTATTATTAAAAGGTTTATGTGACAAAGGATATATATATATATATATATATATATATATATATATATATATATATATATAATTATGCCTAACATTTAGTAATAAAATGTCAAATAGCTGTTACATATTTTATAGACTAAATCATAAAAATATGGACTTTGGATAATTGTAATTATTCGCTGTTATAAATAATTTTTCACTTTTTATTGTTAATATTTCATTCTATAGTTGAATTCATGAGTGAATTGAAACTAGACCACTACTACTGAAAACCTGGAAGCATTGGACAGTTGTTTCGTCCTATTGTGGCAGTGGCAATCCACGATCATGCCCCACGAGAATCGAACGTAGGACCTATTAGTCTTGTGCCGGAGAGCTTAATCTCTAGATCACAGAGCAGGCATCCTGGAGTTATAGTAAGAAGCCGTGACGAGTGGAGTTCAACCAGGTCTGTTGTGAGATAATAACTTACTGATCACAATAGTGGATGTGTCGCTCAATTTCGTGGTTTAGTTGAAATTAGACATTAACACCGTTGAATGCCGGCTGTCTCATTGCGCGAGACTGATATTTCCTCGGTTCGAATCTTGCGAGCTGGGTTCGCGGATGCACACTGCTGAGGAGTTCCACGAGAGTACGAAACGGCCGGTACGTGCTTCCGTGTTTTCCATGCTGGTCTAACTTCAATTGGTTCATGAATGCAACTATAAAATTACCAAAATCTTCACAAAACCCCTTCTGATAATAATATTTTATTTGAAATATGTTTATAATTAACGCTCTTGCTGAAAATGCCTTAAATTTTTTTTTCATAAAGTGTGCGGTAAACATAATTCTGACTTCAGGATCATAATATTGTCTTTCTTGAGAATTCAATGTTTCGATATGTTATTATGATAATCTTAGTGACAGTTAAATAAGATGATTATATTGAGTAAATAAATTTGATAAGTCACCTTTATACGGTTGAAGGTAAACCGTAGGATGCTATAAACCTAGATTTCAAAAATAATACTGATTGACATTTGTCATTAAGATATATTTGACTTATTATTGGAATAGATGATTACCATGAGTTTAGAAATCATATCATCCAATATCAAAATGAGAGATCATCACACTAGTTGGGTTATTGGAAAACTAAGATAAATACACGCTAATCATTTAATCTAATCGTTAGAATAGATGAAACTTCATCATTCAGAAGCTACAATGTTTTTATAGAGTTAAATATTATTTCAACCGTCTGGCATCTAAATATGGGAACAATATCTTTTCTCACATTTCAAAACAATCACACTACATTAAAAACACACATTAACTTACGAGATTTGATTTCAATGGTTGTTCTTTTTTGTGAATTTTTCAGTGTATACAGGAATGCATTTGATGTAGTTTTCTGTGGAATGGATGTGGTTTCTATTGAAACTTTAGTGTTTTCTGAATAGATTGGTTGTGCACGATGAATATGACTTATATTGATTTGACATGTTTGATTGCCCCAATTAGAAGTACTGTACTGAAATGGTTTAGAGAACTGGAGAAAATTCTTAATTTAGTGGTGCATTTCACTGATTTAAAATAGGAAACAGCTATAACATATTCAGGGAGTGGTTAGATTTTCTAGCTAACATTTCTCCGGAGTCCGAAAAAGCTATTAGTTGGCAGATATACACATATCCTAGAATATCTTGTAAAAGTGTTGGATTATATGCAGCAAACATGTATTCTGACGATATAAATCAGGTTAAGAAGCTTATAAAATATGTGTTTATTGAATTTGTAGTATAATTATCTGTCTATTGACAATCTTATTGTTTCGACATGATTATTTTCAACACATTGGTCTAAGCTTGACAACCAAAAGCTTCCCACACAATACAGTAGAGTGATATGAAAGGACCTTGATTGATTATAATTACTTATTTCATTCTTTTGTCCCCAGAATAACTTTTAGGGATATCATTATCTATATTTCCATTGAAATCCATAGGAGTTGATCACCTTCTACTGTCTTGTAGTCCCACCTTGCTACTCAAAAACTAAGAAAGTCTTACTCAGAAACCTAAACACCTATCCTACTGTAGTAATTCTGTTTTAGTAAGGGAGCGTATCAGTACCTAACTAACTTGCCATTTTTAATATGATGTAAATTACCTTTGATTTAGAATAAAAGATCAGTGATTGTGAATCTTTTTTGAACATGCGATTTTACTATTTATTCATAATAAGTAGTCAAAAACATTTACTTATTTCTGAAGTTTTGCATCGCAACGATTGAGATTATTTTGAGAAAATGAATCATCTATTTATACTTGAATTTTGGACCACCTTTGGTTTTTTATATTCTTAAATCTGTTCTCCATTCATTTAGTTTACATGCATTACACTCTGTTACATCGTCAGGAACGGTGTTAATATAGTGGAGTTATGCTCTACAAATTATCGTAAAACTGCTAATTTTGGAGACTCGTCCTGTTTTGTGATTGAATTTTTGATGGATTAAGTGAAGTCATAAATACTTACGGTTTTAGGTTTCCTAAGTTGTAATGTTTGTTTTAATTTCCACGCTAGTATTACAAGCTTGGAAAGCTTTTGACATTTTTGGGATTTTGGTTTAGAATTTGATTGTTAAGTAGGAATGCTCGTATGGATTCTTTAAGTTTAGTTGTGAAGTATGCACCGAAAGTTTTAATTTGGTACAAACAGTAAGTTTCAAACAACTTATTATCTAATGAAGTCATGAACCGATCAAAGTTTGATCACCGTTGAAAATCTGAGGCACTGAACGGGACGTCCCAGCAGTTCGCACCTAGGATCCTGCACGTGGGATTCAAACCCAGGACCTTTGATGTCGCGCGAGAACGCTTAACCTCTAGATCACCGGGCAGGCATCCAACGGTGTTAATGTGCACAATGTCACGTGACCATCTTTCATTGTCTTCCGTGGGTAGCTGGCTTACACTCAATACGGTTGAACTTCACTGGTCACAGTCTCTTACCAGAACCCTAAAAATTCCCTCTCGAAGTTAGTCATTAGTGAGTACATGAAAAGCACTGAAAATCTATTTTTCAACTTTTCATTATATGTTATTTCCAGATTAAATGGTGGCTTATGTATAGTAATCGACAAAAGTGTTATATGAGATTTATATGTCTACTTTGTTTTCTTTCATTATGTACTTATATACTTATAAAAAACTACTGGATACATCAATTTTCACCCCGATAGACTGAGCCAAGCAACTATAATGTAATGGAATTCCAACTAAACAGAAGTTCATTACATATATCCTTTTTAACAAAATCAAACTATATGGTGAAATGTAAAAGTCAAATTATATTTGGAAAGCACACAATTATCAAAAGCCTACACTAACATTTAAATGAAATATGTAAATGTGATTGTTTTTTTCGTGTCTAAGCTTAGAGGTTGACATAACAAGCATGGTAATGTGATTAAAGTGCAGGGACGATGGCTTCCACGAATTAGCTTAGATTATGTTTAAACTCATTAAGGACAAAATATTTAAAACACTTTGGACATTTATTGGAGTTTGCCTTGAATCATCTAGGTTTTAAGTCTTCATTGCCGACTATTTCATGGGCGGCTATTCCTAAATTATTGATAATATTCGCTGCAGCAGCGATGGAAATTATATTAATTTATGTCTGATGCTGAGAAGTGCTTCAATCTGCAGTTATGCAGTATTGCCCAATATCTTACATTAATTGGTTGGCTTCTATATATTTCACCTGATTATTTAAAAGAAATAAAAATAGTTGCTTACCTGCACAACTATGTATTTCTCCTCCTTATGTCTTTGAAGTGGGGGAGGTTCAGTTCCAAAATCTTTCAAAAACTTCAGGTGAAACAGTGATATTTCTTTGTCAACAGACCTATGAACAATTGCCTCATCCCATATAGGTAAACTTGTTTTATGTTCTAAATAAATATTCTCATTCCATAACAACAAAATACCATGTTTTAGAAATCGTTGCTCCAGAGTTTTAATATAATAATTCACTTTATCTGATTTACGTCTTGAAACTTTTCCGTTACTCATTAATTGAATGTTATATTTTAAACGAGGACTACTCCATACTAACTTTGATAAACCTTGAATTTCAAGAGTTAACCAAGTTTCAATAGTGTATATTATTTTTGGAGGACGATGTCGAACATGGCATATATAAGTTCCATTGGTAAAGTCAAATTCAGGATTTAAAGTAAATTTTAATGTTTTACCTAGAATAGAATAAGCAATAAGAAGTTTTATCAGAAGGGGTTTTGTGGAGATTTTAGTAATTTCAATAGTTGAAATCGTGAGTCAATTGAAGCTAGATCACCATGGAAAACCTGGAAGTACTAGACAGCCGTCTCGTTCTAGTATGGGGCTCCTCAACAGTGCGCATCCACGATCCAGCCCCTCGCGAGACTCGAACCCAGGATCTATCAGTCTCGCGCGCGAGCGCTTAACCATTAGACCACTGAGCCATTCGGCATCCAACGGTGTTAATATCGAGCTTCAGCCAATCCACGGAATTGTGCCTTCGTATACCATTGTAGCTAGTGAGCTGATATTTCACAACTTCTTTAAACTGTTGAAATAAGAAGTTTGTCAATTTTTAAATCTATAATAGACAGTTTATCATTGTCATGCAGTATTGGACTCTGAATTTCAGTTAATCTATAAGATCACATCAAATCATACATACATCTTTTTATTCTGGAAAGGCATATGATATACAGTGCACAGGTGAATTTATGTACACATAAGTGGTTTATGTAGTCGATTTATTCACCACCATGTAGTTCATTTGTATTTGTTTATTTTTCGTTTACTATTTATTACCCATTTTATCCTTAATTAATGATATATCCAACTAAAAATTCTCAAATGTCATTGATCTTATTTTTGTTGTTTCTATTAACTGATCACATTTAATCGATTTCTATTCACATTTACAACGATAGTTATGCCTCTAGGTGGAGGAAATCACATCAGAATCTCTCATCTTATAGTTTTCTCTTCGATCTTTACCTTAACATAGATCATATTATTAATAATAACACTGATGATCCATTTATTTATTAAAACAATGCTTATTATTTCACGTATGTAGGACCACAGCTTTAAAAACGAAATCATCAAAAATGAAGTTATTTTCGTTGAATTATTTGCTTTAATTTAATTTAACTACTTATTAAAAGTAGTTAGAATATATTTTTCGTAAGAAATATATTTGTAATTTTACCTTGTAAACATATCTCAGTTGCATTCGAATGTCTACTAGTATACATCTCACAACGGAAACCAAAATAATCAAGGCAGCTTGGATTGGAATAACATTTAATACCACAGCAGTCAGGATCTGTAAAAAAACAATAAATTATTAGGTAATGAGAAAAATCATCTTTGATATATTTCAGTATAAATCTCAAAAAGGTTGATTTCTTCTCCATCATTCAAATAAATCATTCTAAAGTTAATTTATTATTTCGTATATATATCTTTCACAACTGTCCCATTGACATAAGGGTTGGAGAAATATAAGTTACATTACATAGACTTAACTAATACTGATTAGACTGTTTCTTAGTCAGTAGTTTTTTGTCACATAACAATTGGCGCTAAAAAGATTTTTATAAACAATGTGACAATTTTGATCATTTTTACCGCTTCCAATTTTCTTATGTCACTTATATTGATGACTATATTGGGAAGCGATTTTTAGTTTCTATGAGAAAAATGTCGAAAAAGCTTTTTTTTATTAGCCACATTTTCTTTTATTACAAAACTCCTTTCTACAAACTTTTGTATCAATATGCATCTGTCAGTTCACAATAGAGTTTTTGGTTTAAAATAAATAACAAGTAATCAAAGTTTGCGTATCGAATGTGTCTTATAAAGCAATTGTGTCTGTTTTTTTTTACAGATAAATAGTGTTTTAGTAGCATGATCTATATGACTCCAATTAGATCGGATGAACGATTGTTATTGAAATGCATATGTCGTCTATCCTCGCACATAATTATCAACTTAACTCGCGTTAATGAATAACAAAATTAAAGAAGCCAAATACAAAAAGGACTTTGAATATCTATATTTCATGCACTCAGTGATATGAACAGGCAGTCAGGGAGAGGAAGTGAAGAGGGAGGAGTGAAGCAGATTGAAGAACGGGTATGACCCAACTCAATTTAATCAAACGTTAGTCAATATTTATAGTCGGATAGATATAAGCTACAGACATGTGATGAATAGAATAAGGAGTGCATACACATATGCCCATATAAAAACAGACAAGATTGATAAGCGAATAATTAACAAGATCAAAATGTAGCTTAAGAAGAATGGATAAATTTGTTTGTCCAGAAGCTAGAATAAGCTACATGGGTTCGACATAGAACCAAACACTACAACGTAAATATATATTTCAAGTAAACTGGTTGGTTTTTAACCTGTGTATCATTTATATGAGTTTGTATAATTTTCGAGTAATATCTGTGTGAATGAAATGGTCATTTAGTGAACTTTTTTGTAAAATGACACAATAGGAAAATTTTAAGCATATATAGAACACTATATATGAGAATGCCAAATAAAAAGACATATTAATAGATGTGTTTTTAACCATTAAATATTCACAGCATTGCAATCAAGTCGCTTAAGTGAGTAGAAATGGTTTCTCTATAACATATATGTCAGTTTAAAAAGGAAAGGAAACAATAAATTAACCTCAATAACTAACCAATTAAACAAAATATCATGCTGTTCAACGAATTTTAGTGACTCTTGGCTGATGAAGTTCAAGTATGTCGAGATATAAGAAAGAACCGCTAATCATACTGGATGATTATCTTATTGTACAATGTGTTGATCGGGGTTGAAATTATGAATCACTGGATACTGACTTAATAAGCCTAAGGTTATGTATTTTATGAAAATCCTCTTAGATCCTATATCTTGTAAGATCATGATTGTGCAATACTAAATCAAGATAGATCTCAAGTATTTAATACATCGTTACCTATAATCATATTATGAAAAAGAACTATGTAATTTTATAAAAACATAATAATGTAGAAATTATACATACCATTAGCTTGCCAAATATTTTGTTCAATAGTATTAACGCGTAATAAATTTCCATAGAATATTTCTTCATTAAAATCATGATTAGTTTCAATTTCACCATGATTACTAAGTAAATTGTTTTGAGTTTTCTTTAAATTTATCTCTGAAAACATTTCAATTTTACTATTTAAACATGATTGTTTTAAACATGTTTGACAAATACGTCGTTGTGTATCACAGTGCATATCTTTTAAGTAAGATTGACTTTCTATTATGTTTTCTTGAAATAATTTATTGACCAATGGTGAATTGATTGTACAATAAAAACTATTTAATTGAGGAGGTAGATATGAAGCTTTCTAAAATATAAATCAATAAAGTTATAGTATAAAGAAGAAAATTAATTATTGACAATTGATTAATCAGAAGGGAATTTTGTGGATATTATTAGTAATTTTAATAATTGAGATCATGAATCAATTGAAGCTAGATCAACATGGAAAATCTGGAAGCACTAGACGGCTATTTTGTTCTATTGTGGGACATTGTTCAATGATATTTTTTTTTTTTTGGAATTTTTTCAGTCTCACTGTTATATACACGAAATGAAGTCAATTAAAAGAGAAGGAGTCCTTACTGTGAAGTTCCATGGTGGTTTAACTTCAAATGATTCATGATTTCAATTAATGAAATTGGTTAATCGTTTTATAATAAAAAAAAATAAGGCATGAATGCAATTATATTTCCAAGCATCAAACAAAGTATTTAGGAAATCATGCAAAATGTTACATTCTAGATTGTATGATGTATGAATATATCCATAGTATTATGAAACAATATGAACTAGTGACAACTATGAATTTTCAAATTATTATCTTTTGTTACATAATAATCAATCATTAGAAAAGATTAAATAGATCAATAGTTTGTAAAACATCTAAACTTGTTATTCATTAGGTGATAGATATGAATATGATGTTACTTGATTGTTGTTGAAATCTTTGAATGATTATGATTTCTTTTATTCAGAATGCCAACATGTATAGATGGTTTAGGTAATAAGTGAAAGTCAATCATTTGAAAAATTGACATTATTTAACTTCAAAAACTATAATCAATCTATTGTAAATGAAAAACATTTCAGTGAGTCTATAATTTATGAACGAACCAATCACGTATAAAATAACAGGCCTCGTAATTTGGCGTGAAATTCACTCATTCATTTTGATAAATAGAGTTTTAGGAATTAAAGTTGATATCAGTTCGTGATGAAAACCCAAAATTTAATTCCTAACCATAATCGTCAACGGTAAACTATATTTGTAATTCCTCACACAGGTTTATAACCCTAATTTGGTCCTGGTTATTATGTGGACACTCTCAAGTTCAGTCTGGCGTCGCTTAAAGGTCGTCCATTAATTTTAGTCTTACCGAAATTTCTCATCAATGTCATTTAATTGTAATCACCTAATGAACTAATTAAAACAAGGATTTATTACAATTTCTTTACCAACTATTCTGTAAATAATTGTTATGAATATTGGTCCATTTACTGCATAATATTCATATTGTCAGTATAAGCCAATGTTTCTCATTTATTTATTGATTCAGTAATTTCTTGTCAAAGTCTATTAGATTCAAAGTCACTCGTATTAAAAAAACCCGGAGCTATATGTATAAAAGAAATATCTTCAACCGCTTCTCATACTTCGGCCAACATTAGAGTCAAATAATCAATAGTAATTTTAACTATTGAATTGCCTGATTTGACTAATGTACTTACAAGCTTTTGTAGTCAAACGTAATTGTCTCGATTATCATTATTCATATATGTCTGTGCTATTATTATTATTATTATTAATTTAACGTCACTGCTAGTATCCTGAATATATGATTAATCTACTTATTACTCACCCTGCATTATTATTTCTTACTGAGTTCATTTAACTTTTTCCACATTGTAGTCTCCCACTGAACATGGAATCTAGTTTGTAATTGCATTACTAGTTCTCTCACCCTATCTGACCCATATTTATTCTGATCATAAATCTCATAATTTCATTTAACGTATAAGCTGATTCCAGTTAACATTACATATTAGTCATTTCGATATTAACCTCTATACCACTGAGACGGCATCCAATAGTGTTAATGTCTAACTTCAACTAATCCGCGAAATTGAGCCAGAGTCCACCATTGTCTTCGGTGAGTTACTATCTCACAACAGACCTGGTTGAACTCCACTGGTCACTGTTTCTCACTAGAACTCCAGGAAATATCTCTTGAAGCCAGTCACTAGTATGTATGTTTTAGTTAAATCCCAACTTCACATGATATAACTTTAAGCGATGTAGATTGTCTTAAATCTGGCCACTTTTGGGATTAATAATTTGTATATATTATTGTAGAATCAGAAGAGAATTTTCTGAAACGAAAATCCTTCATTCATATATTAGTGTTATGAATATTTTCTTAATTGTCCGAGTGATTTTTGATACATCAGTAGTGAACCATATACATTTTAATAAAAATAGTCAAATCTACAATCATATGGTGAATTAAAACAACAGACTGATAAAAACCGCTGTGTAACTTCCTTTCTGCTCATAACATGTTTGATTCTAACGTCATTGAATAAATTGTATGCATACACTTATGTCCCCATTTGCCTGCATTAGTCTTTGTTTATCCCCATAGTTATGGTCTTGCTAATTATTTACTGTAAACTCTGTATGCATCTATCATTTGTACTGGAAATTGTTATTTGAAATTCAGACATTATTTACCTTATTATAAAGATTAAATCACCCTTTATTCACCACGTAAGGTTTTACAACTACTCCTATTCATATCTTGTCAATTTTCATATTTATTCACTCAATCTGTCTGTCCACATGAATATCTAAATTATACATGTCTTAAATAAAGTCATTTGATTTTCTCTATGTACGTTATATTAAAGTGATTAATGGACAGCAAGTTTATGAAGTAAATTAGGATTCATATTTTATTAATATCATTATTGTTCTATCATAATGAAGTAAACAACGGACAATAAACATTAGAGAAATAATAATCAACATTATCAGTTGTTGATTAACAGATTTTTATGGCTTGACTAGACATGATTAAAAAAATCAGTTTTAAGTCACATTTCATATGTCTTGGTAGTATGTTTACACTCAACTAATATGAATCCAACTTAGTTAGCTGGATATCAAGGATATCTGTTCCTGCCATCCAAATATTTCAACAAGCTATCTGTTCTTTGTTTCTTTTAATAAATCAAATATATGTATAATCTATTCAGATGCGTTTGTGAAAAGTTTACGACCTTTCACTATACAAGCTACGAAAGTGTTCAATAAGAAACGTCGTGGTTGCTGACAAAAAATGAACGTTATTCAGATACGGAATTCTGAACAGATAACGTGTTACTAGCAATCAATCAATATTTCTCAATAAGAGAGGGAAACCTGTTCAAATACATTGTATTAAGAATTCTATATTGTACCAAAAATATAATACTGAATAAAGCTAATAATATACATGATTCATTTTTACTATCTTGCAGACAGAGAGAAGATAGATTTGATTCGAAAAGGGAAACTAATGAGCATATAAAGAATTACAATCTTATGATTTGATAATTGAAAAATGAATGCTTTTAAAAGGTGTGAACATTTCTTTAGATGAATATCGACTCTTAAAACTACTGATATCAAAATTTGTAACTGAAAGTCAAGTTTTATGTCATTCTACGTTACTAAGTGGTTAATAATTAGTGTTGCCTTAACTTGAAACTTAAATTTTGATTGAATATTGTTTGAAATGAATTTGAGGATTACCTTATATAAAATCAATTAGATGAAAGTTTCTCCGAATTTACATATTAAGTAGGAAGACAGGTGTACTGATAGTAGGTAAGAATAATAAAATACGAGCATGACAAAAAGCTGAACTTCCTTGACGTCACACTAAGCAGACGATGTGATGGCACATTAAGTAGAAGCGTGTATAGAAAAAGCCCCTCTACCTGCCAATATACCCACTTCTGCAGTTTCACACCTATCCGCTACAAGAGAAATTTGGTTAGATGTCTCACAAGCAGAGCAAAAAAGATTTGTACAGGTGATACTTTAAGTCAGGAGCTTGAATTTATTAACAACTCACTGACCGAGATCGGCTACCCCGGTGCTTTCATTAAGAAGTACATGTATGATATAATAAAGAAGTCGGAGATTTCGACTGTTCGTAAGAAACCTTTATACATGAAACTACAATTCAACGGGGATGTGGCTAGTGATACTCTGAAATATAGGTTAACGAAAGTAATCAACAGAACATTTTACGCAGCCAATCTTGCGTTGACTTTCTCTTGTCGACCAGCGATGTCTACTCAAACGAAGGATAAGTTACCTGAGTTGGCCTCCTCAATGTGCATTTACAAATTCAGCTGCTCCTGTGGAGATAGCTATATCGGGCGTACTACCAGGCAACTTAACCAACGAATGAATGAACATCTACCAACTTGGTTCATAAACGGCCAGATAAAAACAGTACGCAGTTCAATCCTGGCGCATCTTATTGATAGTGGTCATGCGGTAGATAAATCGAAATCATTTCGAGTGATCTATCGTATACCCCCATCATTTCCCAATGGAGTTCGTTCCCGTCTCCTACATATAGCTGAAGCCATAGGAATCCGTACATATAACCCCAATCTATGTGTACAAAAGAAATTTGTAACCCCCCTATCCCTTCCATGGCCAGTGATAACTTAACTAACGATTAATTTTTTTTTTTTTATTTCTTTATGATTACTATTATTATTAATATTCTATCATTAACCTTATTTACTTATCCATTATTTGTTTGGAATTATTCGCCTCTTTACATTTGCATTCTTCACTATCTAATTATTTACACACTTCTTATTACGTAATGATTTTAATGTTTTGTGATAACTACTCCATTTACCCATGTTTGACCTACTATTTCCAATGTTTAACTATTGATAAGACTTTTGTTATCGTATTTTATTATTCTTACCTACTATCAGTACACCTGTCTTCCTACTATCAACTTGTACTTTTATCTATTATGTGTGATGACTTATCCCATTTCATTATAATTACTGACCCAAAATTGCCTTGATTGGTTTAACATTTTCGTATAAATATTACTGTATATTAGAGTAAAGCCTGATGATGATCTAATTGAAAACAATTGTTCGCTTATATGTGTTGTTCTACTATGTATGTCCTTTCATCTGAAATCGAATTTTTTAACGATCTCATTAGTTGAAGTGTTAATTATAAAGAAGATAGGAAAGTTCTTGACCATAACATGCTTCATTGTCTTTATTTTAGTTATCCGGTTGTCTAAATTTACTTTACATACGCGGCTGAAAAGCCATTTGTTCAAATGTCTTCTGTAGGTTATTCGGTAGAAGTTATTCTTGTTCAAGAATATACCACTTCATGTATCATTTTGATAAAATTTGAATGTCTAATCACTATATCATTAATTCGTATTTTAGTCAAATTGTAGTAAACATGAACTCAAATGTGAACAATCGAATATATTTCAAAATAAAATTTCAGAATCTCTTAGTAAAATCTGAGAACCTTTACAGTAAATACACCATTTGAAAAATATCAGTCAATCGTTTCAGACTTTATTGTACTCTCGTTTCCAAATCAATCATTTTCTTTTCTTCGATCCTTTTAACCTTCTGCCTCCAAGTATTCCATATTTCATTGATGATACTACTTATATCTGTCAACATCAGTAGTACACATACACCACAAAGTCATCTATAAACATATTATCCAATCTTTAAATTATGTATATTTATTGTGAAATTTATATTTTTAAAATAATAAGAGTTAGCAAACATTTTCACATATCATCCTATTGAATATGACGAAGATTTAAGAGGGTTTACGTGTATCACTAAGTCTGTTTAAATGATTAATTTAACAACACAAAATATTAAACAATTAAATGATTGAATTACTTCTTTTTTTCCCTTCATTTAAATAGGAATACATCATATATACAAAATTCTTTGATTTCAACACAATTATAGTTTTATTTAATAAATGATATTCAGACAAAATGTATTTGATTAACTGCATATTTTATAGTATTGTAACCATGTAAATGTCAAATGAAGACCATTAATTAACAATTGTTGTTTACTTAAATTCTTTGATATGTGCTTAATTCCTCTCTCTCTCTCACACACACACATATACGCATGCACACAAACAAAACCTCACATTGTTTAAAGTCGGACCGCCAAAATCACAAGAATTCAACATTCAATTTAATACTTGATGAATTGAAATTACTTTCATACTTAATTGATTATTTATATGAATGAACATTTAGCATTCTTTTATAATGGTTTATATTTATTAGAATATTTTAAATTTCCAACTGTGTAAATGTAGTTTTTAATTCATTTATCTATCATGTACTAATTTCAACTAAGTTAAGAGAACAATATTTCAGGTAGATACAATAAAGTGCAAGTATCATAGTTACTTTATTTTTTTGTTTTGTTTAGAAAATGAAAAAAAAAACGGAACAAACTGAACACAACTAATTTTAAATTAATGTAACTGAAAGAAACATGAATGTGTGTGTGTGTGTGCGTGAGAGTATTTTTTTGGCTTTGGTTTTGATTTTTTACAATATAAGTCAGGTAACATGCATTCCATTCAATAACGAAAAAAAAAGAAAGAAAACCGCGTTCATGCAAACACAATTCAGATTTTCACCATTCTAATGAAGTATTTTTAATTTTTGAGCATTGACAAACTATTTTAGTTAGATAACAAATGAAGCATGTAAAAAAATAACCCAGTAAAAAAATCAAAAGAAACGGGCAAACCATTTTTAAAACATCATAGTAGAATTATTTAATATCCAAGATAACTCACATCTGAAATCAGTATAGCATTATGAAGCTAAAGTATTGAAAACGTTATTTTTGTTTTTTTGTTTATTAAATGATATCAAAATGTATTTTTGTATTAAATTCTAGTTTTCAATAATACTTATTGTCATTTAATATTGTTTACTTGAATTTTTCGATTGATGATTAGGACTGCAATTGGTCAGTGTATACTATGAGTATCACCTCAAAATTGTCTTAATTCACATGCATTATAAGCAAAGATGCATAGTAGATAGCTAAGTAGACAAAACGATGGCGTTTGAAGCGAACGATATTGGGTTCGAATCTCAATTCTGAGATGTAGGTACATCCAGCTGACGAATCTTAATTAAGACGAAACATGTGCCCTGGATTCCACTGTTAGCCACTATCTATCTTTGCTTAAAGTTGTTGTCAGTTATGTTCATTCGTTTAGAGTTGATTTCAGTTGGTTAATTGAAATAAATTACATTGGTAAATTATTCATCAAAAAATGTCATCAATTGAATACAACAGATTAATATTTTCACTTAAACAAATTGTATTTAATTTTAGATATTTATACCAAAATCGTACTTGATAGTTTCAAATAAATTGAGCATTGGGTAGAGAATTAATGTATTTGTTTCTTTTGTATTATTTAAACTTACGTTAATTTAATGTCGGTTTTTGATTTACTCTGAAGAGGTGGTTTACATTAAGTTACGAAACGTCAGAAATAAAATAAAATTTTTCTACTTATTGGGATATAACAAAAAATATATTTATTATGTACTTAATTGTATTTAAATTAACCTAGTATATATCATCGAAAACTTAGGTATGTTACGTCATTTGCATTTTGGAAACATTTTAAATGAAATTACGATTTATATTCAAATGATTATATGTCTGTATGTAGAAATTCATTATGTTTAAAGTGAATATAATGTGGAATATACATTGTATTTTTATAACATAAGGAGATTTTCAGAAAAGGTTTTATGAAGATTTTAGTAATTTCAATAGTTGAAATCATGGGTCAAGTGAAGATAGATCACTGTGGAAAACCTCGGTGCACTGAACGGCGTTTCGTCCTAGTATGGGACTCCTCGGCAGTGCGCATCCACGATCCCGACACCCCCGCGACATTCGAACCCAGGATCTATCAGTCCTATTGTGGTGTGTGCTACTTATGTAGACATAAGTAGTATATTGTGTTAGTCGTGAACAGAATGTCTGGCAACAGAGAGACAACAAGATCGAACAGTAACTAATGAAAACAGAATTCAATTTGTATGAAAATGCAGGAAACAATGAAACCTGAGTCATTTTGAAACAATTGATGGACATTTAGCAAATTGAGCATTTACTATATGACTTTTAGATTTATTAACAAGTTCTGTAGTTTGTTGTGAAATACATTCGATTGTCCCCACCCGTGTTCTGTTCACTACACTATCAGTTGGATGCCGGCTCAGTGGTCTAATGGTTAAGCGCTCGCTCGCTTAGATGGATAGTAGTTAGTGACTGGGAAAGTAAATGTAATGTGCTTATTATTAAAGAACATTAAATTAAGATGAAATGGGCAACTGTTATTCTAATGGTTTTCCAGATGAAGTTAGACTCTGATAAATTGACCTTCACGATCTAATACGCTGAACGAAGCTATTAGGTATCGGTACTGTAGGCTTTTATTTCAATTTACTTCATGAAATTTCTCTACGAGGATGATTAAGAAATACACTGTTCTAGTGTGTGCTGAAGGATTTGATACTTTTTATACTTGGTTATTCGTAAATTTGATAGTTTCACAATTTAAAGTTTACTATTTAATGTCTCAGGGTGCTTTCATCAATAGAATACTTACTTACTTACTTACTTACTTACTTACTTACTTACTTACTTACTTACTTACTTACTTACTTACTTACACCTGTTACCCTTCATGGAGCATAGTCCGCCAACCAGAATATAACAGAATAACGTGACGTAACGTGATCTAATTAAACATTGAAATATGCAAGCTATACTTTTAAAGTTAGCATTAAGTGAACATTGTAGGATCCTAGATATGATCAGTTTGAATATAATGGTCTTCTGAGTTGTAATGTAGAAATACTGAAAAAAGTTTCATTTGGACACGTTTCTCGAGTCATGTAAACATTATCACGTATCCAGATATAGTTCGAATAGTCTATACTATTTCTTTCTTCTTTATGAAAACTTATCTACCAAATTATCATCACTCATCTACAAACGTTTAATAATTAACTATTTTATAAAATTCAATGTTAAAAACAAAATTAAACACATATATCTTGGTTTTAAGATTACATGATGCGAAAACATACTTCAATGGACAAGATCCCACGAACGTAGATTTTATTATTTTGATAATTATATATGATATGTATTTACAAACTTCTAGTTATTCGCACAATCTGTAATGTGAATCCTTCTGTTATTTAAATCAGTCATTTATGTTGTGGCTTACTCTCTTCAGTGATGTTACTGAGTATATGGGTTAGCTACTGCACAGTAATTATCACTTCGTTCAAAAAATTGTTGTATAGGTAATAGGAATCACAATACAAGAATCTTAATTAAGACTGAAGAATAATAATTTATTATCTTTCGTTAAAAATTAAGTTTGAGGCGATTTACTTAAATATCTGGGCTACCTGCTCTTACCATCCAAATATTTCAACAAACTATCTGCTCTTTGTTTCTTTCAATAGATCAATTAAATGCATAATCTATTCAAATGAGTTTTTCAGAAGTTTACGACCTTTCACTATACAAGTTACGAAAGTGTTCAATAAGAAACTTCGTGGTTGCTGACAATATGCATAAAAAAAACGAATGTTATTCAGATGTGTAATTTTGAACTGGTAGAATGTAACTGGTCATCATTCAATATTTCTCGTCAATATCGATCAAGAAATAAAAGAGGGAAACCTGTTGATATATATATGCGTAATTGACTAATGTCAATGATCATGTCATTGATTATTCATTAATCTTTACTTAATGTCAGAAATAGTGGAATCAATGATTTATAGCTTGGACGAAGTATTGAAAAATGTAGACAGTACAAATTTTAAATTCCCGATTATACCAATAAAAATAATAAACTCTACCTGTAATTAAGAATTCAGTAAGTTAAAGAATAAGACAATTCAGATAGTTGATGACTTTATTCTCATATATGCATAAATTAAATACTTACATGTTATGATTAGTAAAACTAATTGTGTCACATATCTATGCACAAAATAATGTTGACATTTATACGTGGATATACTAAGACAGAAAAAGAAAAGCAAGGTGAGAATTGATAAGACAAAAGTTCTTCTTTCTTGTTTTTTTTGTAGTTTTTGATTTCTTATCTTAACCTTCCTTCTTTCTCATTAAAATCAAAATGAACGCAAGAAAACAAAAATAAAAGCAAAAATAAATAAAGACCTTAAGTGGCAAATGATAACAGGATGACAAATTTACCCCCCCTCCCACAGAGAAACGTCTAACTATTCACAGGTAGATTCAATGATAAGGATGCTGAATTTGAAAAAGAAAAAAATATTATAAAATTAACTGTCGGAGTGCTGTATTTTCTCTTAATTCTTCAATTCTTTTATTTATTTATAGAAACAAGAATTTTAGTTTTAATTTCGTTTAATTTTTATTGTCTATTCCAGAGTAGTGAGAAATTAGAAGAAGAAACAAAACAAAAAGACCCATCTCTTTCATGATTTTTTCTAGCGTAACGTTTGTCAAGTTGAATTTTTTTTATCGCAAACAAAACTAGAATAGACAAGGTATTGATGGTGATTATTAATCTCCTGTTGACATGTCTAGTGGATTTATTTCGGATAAACTTTGAATATTCCCAAAGAGAACATAAAAAAGAAGTTTAATTAAAAGAAGAAATAAAAAAAAAGAAAAGAGGTGTCGTAAATTTTTGTATGAAAAGAAGTTTACAGTGTGAAACGTTTATTAATTTTTTTTATTTTTTATGGGTTTATATGAAAATTAATTATTTAAGGAAATTAATTTTAAGATTGATGATTAAGAAATGATAGATTCATCATGAAGTGTTTGACTGTATCGTTGTTAAAAGTTTAATAGTTATGATAATAAGAAAAGATTTACAGTAAGTTAGATGGATCTAACAGGTTACTTGTAGCCTATAATAGATATTTCCAAGTTTAATTATACTGAAGATTAGAGCACAATCAATTGCTTGGAAATATTGTTACGGTACATAGTAATATTATTGGATACATTTAAGTTAATACTATTTTTCATAGTTGAGATTATAAGCCAATGGAAGGTAGACCGTTTTATTCTATTGTGGAATCCCTCAGTAGTGCGCGCGAAACTAATAGGTCCTGGGTTTAAATCTTGCGAAACGGGATCGTGGATGTGTATTGCTAAGGAGTCCCACAATAGGATGAAATGGCCGTCCAGTGCTTCCAGGTTTTCCGTGGTGGTCCAGCTTTAATTGACTCATGATCTCAACTAATTAAGTTATAATCAGTATAGTTAAGTCATAAGACTGGAATATTTCCAAAGTTTATACTCTGGATAATTCTTAGTTAGTCAAGGATTGAAAACCAAAGGCACTGAACACCTGTTTTGTCGTGGTGAGAGACCCTTTGGCAGTGAACATCCATTACTTCACTACAGAGGATAGACCCCAAGACTGTCGGGTCATTTAGCAAGCACTGAAACTTTAGATTATTGAGTTAATGTCCAACAGAGTAAATGGTTATTTTTGATCAATTCACGACATCACTTGATCATTTTCCATTGACTACATCAGATGACTGTCTCACACCCCTCATGGTTGATCTTCACTAGTAACAGCTTTTCACCGAAACTCTTGAAATTACTTCTCGAACTTTTTCGCAAGTCTACATAAAACCCCAATCAGGATTATTGAATTTTTATAGTTTATATCACGAAACGAACACATTTAGACAATCATTGAAGACTAGGAATCACTGAACTGTAACTACATGTTGTGTTCAATATTGCCCCACATATTATACTGCATTAAGATAACCACAAAGTCCTCTAATGGACCCAGTAATACAATAAATGTATTTCATATGATAACTTTTAGAAATATACACATGAATTTCATGACCTGAAATATAATTATACCTATGATTTCTGTATTTAAGTCAATAGATAATACATTTTCCATTGCAGTTGTCCTAGGTTTACAAGTAGAATATAAAATGTACTTTTATCTAAATTACTACAACATATGTGTGATAAGTAATTCTTAATACTTGACTGTTTCATTTTGTTTAATTAAAAAATTACAATGAATAATGGTTGTGTCGTTAAGGTATCAAAATATCAGTGAAAAATATAGATAATGGCGAGCAGTGGAATCTATGACGCATGTTTCGTCCCATTCGGGACTCGTCAGCTGGATATACTTCATATTTAAACTAAACTATATTATACATTCTTTGACAAACTGTTCATGCTGATAGCTTTGCATTCGTATTGTAGGATTTTCGCATATTTAACTAATGTTAATTAAATTAACCTGTGAACTAAGACAAATCCCTGTGACTGATTTGATAGTAAGGATTAACTTTAACTATAGTCTATTTTTCATTAACTGGGTGAATGACCTACGGAACCCATATCCTACAATCACTTATGCCTTCACTCATATCTGTTTTTACTTGAAATATTTTATATATAAGTGTGTCTTTGTACCGTATTGCACAACTAATTTTTCAAGGCGATTCTTATATCTTTTGATTTATATTCATATGGTCCTTTCCATAGACAAACAGTAGTAATCGTTGCTCGACTTCACTATTCTTATTAAATCATTCAATCACTAAAAGTCAAACGGTAACTAACAATTGTTTTGTCCAATTTTACATGATAGTTTTAACTTCATAAAAGATTTAACTTCCGGGTTAATTGATTATACATCTAACACCATCAGTGATATTTATTTCAATCTTGATGTAGTTTAACTTTAAATCATCATTCATGTAAATAGTTACAAATAATTTACAAAACAGTTTTTTTAAAAGGAATCATGGATGCGTACTGCTGAGGAGTCCCACTATAGAACGAAACAGCCATCCAGTACATTCAATTTTTTCATGGTGGTCTAGCTTCAATTAACTCATTATCTCAACTATTAAAATATGTTATAGTTTACTGATGATCAGTGTACTCATCATGATCATTTTAATCAGAATTTTTAGACAATTTCAAATAGATTTTCTAAATTTCAGTGAATTTTTTTATTAACTAAAATAAATGTATATATCTATATATATATATATTATATTTGTGTGTGTGTGTGTATTTCATTTATTACACTTTAAACTGAAATTGTAAATTCATTGTACAAATAAAAGTAAATGTGTTTATGACACATAATTGATGATTACAAAAAGAATAAATATACATGTATTTAGAAATAGAAAATAAACTCACATTTTGTGTACATTGTCCATTTATAGAACGATCATAAAATATATATCCACTTGGATAATTATCAGGACATAAACGAGAATTAACATTATTTGGTTGGCATATATGTCTTCTAGCAGTTGTATGTCGATCTAAATAAGGATGCATAGCCAAATAGTATTGTTTAGGTAATGGATACCTATAAAATAAATCATGTAAATTATTTAATTTTCTAAATGATGAGAAGGTAAGATTCCTAATAAAATAAAATTAGATATATTGCAGTTAATTAGAATTAAAGGGATAAGGTTAGGTTTAGTGTCTAAACACGTTTGTCAACATTGTATACCCTTAATTTTGAAGAAAAAGTGTTTCTTTTTGAATTGTTAAAAGTCAGTTTAATTAGCGTTTAAATAATAAACATAAGAATAAACAAAACATACTAATCAACATATGCTCACTAGTGACCTGCTTCAAGAGGTAATTCCTGGAGTTCTAGTGAGAATCAGCGAACAGTGGATTTCAACCAGGTCTGTTGTGAGATAGCAACTCACTAAAGACAATGGTGGATGTGTTGCTCAATTTCGTGGATTAGTTGAAGTTGGATATTAACACCGTTGGATACCGACCGACTCAGTGGTCTAGAGGCCTAGCGCTTGCGCGCGAGACCAATAGGTCCTGGTTTCGAATCTCGTGAGGCGAAGTCGTGGATGCGCTCTGTTAAGGAGTCCCACAATATGGCGAAACGGCTGTTCGGTGCTTCCAGGTTTTCCATCGTGTTCTAGCTTCAATTGACTCATGATCTCAACTATTGAAGTTACTAAAATCTCCACAAAACCTCTTCTGATACTAATTAATTTTTTGTAACCAACCTGTTGTACAATTATGTATATTTCCACAGACCTGGAACACAATCGATCAGGTAGACAAGAAATCATTTAATAATAGAGAGTGGCTGACGTACAATAATTCTTTAGATCTAGAACAAAGCAAAGCTATTCTGTTTCTCTAATTATTTGACATCTCAGAAAATTTTTAAAAAATGATTGTACAGATAAAATAAAAATAAAGTAACAAAAATCTGACAGACAATGAGTTAATGGTGCAAGCTGAAAGCTTTAAGTTTATAAGAAGCAACTATAAGTATTTACTCAGAAATCACCAGAGTCATCTGTATGTTAATGAACCAGGACATCACAAAAAAACTTGATTTATAGTAAGTAATTTACCATCGTTTAAAGAAGAAACCAACCGTTTATCCAGACAACTGGATTAACAGATTGTGATCTGTATGATCAACAGCAAACTATGATATATAAATGTCCTAGGTTTGACCCTTATTTATTAATCTCAATTTTTAGCGTCTTATGGGCTTGAATCATCATTTTGTGATTAAGCTATCTCAGAATCATTTGGACATTAAACACTTAATGAAATGACATACAGATAAGTTTTGATTTATTTAGATTATAGCTAGCAGTGGAATCCAGTAGACGTTTATCGTTTTGTTTAGGATTTTATTTAACTGAAAATTGATATTTAGAACTGTAGTTTGATCAATCTACAACATAATCTAAATCCAATGTGAGCATTTATTTAGCAAGTTAGTAGTATAAAGTGTTTTGATAAAATGTGTGATGAATTTCATTCTTTTCAGATGACTGATTATCTGTCACTAAATAATAAGTTGTCACTAGTCAGCATTCGAAGAAATAAAGATTTTAAGGCACAATAAGTATGTTCTCATAAAGAAAAGATACGATATAATTTGAAGTCATAGGACACTTTTCTACTCATTCTAAAAAGTGTTCTATAAATATCGGTATACGCTATTGTTGATTAATGCGAGAAAAATGATTTGGTTCACTATTTTTCCAGTTCAAACCAATAGAGGAATTATCAGTATAGGGTTGTGGAGATTATTAAGCTATTGATTGAGATCTTGTACCGATTGATGTTAGACCACCAGTGAAAACCTAGAAGCACTGGACGGCCATTTAGTCCTAATGTGGGACCCTTCAGCAATGCGCACCCACTCTTTAGGACGGCAGTCCAGTGTTTCCAGGTTTTTAATGGTGGTCTAACATCAATCGGTTCAAGATCTTAATCAATAGAGAAATAATTTAACACTCAAATAAACTGAAGAATAAGTCAGGATAAATATACTGATAAACAAAATGGGAAAAGATTTCATAGGCTAGTGCTACTCACAAAAGATACAAATACTCTCATTTACAAATATTTAGAAGCATATTTATTTTGTGTTTGAATAGAAAGCTAAGTAGGCTTACTATAACAGGGAATTTACTAATTCTTCATCTGGTGTTATTGTATGCTAATTAATAAACACTTATAATCATAAAATAATAATATATTCACAATATATATCTATGTATAAAATTAAAATCTAGCTGTTTCGTTGCTTGGTGTGGATAGCTTCTTCAGAGGATAGATTAATTATTATAATGATTGTATCATTATTATAAACAATTAACTCAATACTCAGTTTACTTGGTAGTAATAAGCCAGACCTTGTTAATGGTATTTAAGTAACTAGTATCCAAAATCTAATTTCTATAATTTGGACTATTATTTTACTCTACCTGTCGTTTAGAATTTTCTGTCAAACGGTGCACTTCGATGTTAACTAGTTATTGGAAACTACGGAAATTATTAGTATACCATATATAAATATATATACAACCTCCATTTGAATGTATTCAAAACAAATTATTCTTTCATTTTTCTAAATAGGGAATCACTCATGCTGAAAATATCAATTATCATACTCTTCATTTCATATTATCCGATAGCTTAGGTAACATAAAACAATAGCCGTAACCTATTTAGCCTTTAGTCTAAGGTATATTATATTAAAAAATTTTTTTCCAGGTTTGTTTTATACTATAAATGTACGAAATAATTAATATCAGAAGGACTTTTGTTCATATTCTAGTAAATTTAATAGTTGAGATCATGAGTCAATTGAAGCTAGACCACCATGGAAAACCTGGAAGCACCGAACAGCCGTTTCGCCATATTGTGGGACTCTTTAACAGAGCGCATCCACGACTTCGCCTCACGAGATTCGAAACCAGGACCTATTGGTCTCGCGCGCAAGCGCTTGGCCTCTAGACCACTGAGTCGGTCGGTATCCAATGGTGTTAATGTCTAACTTCAACTAATCCACGAAATTGAGCAACACATCCACCATTGTCTTTAGTGAGTTGCTATCTCACAACAGACCCAGGTTTTCCATGTTTGTCTAGCTTCAATGAACTCATGATCTCAACTATTAAAATTACTATTATATCCACAAAACCCTCCTGATAATAATAATAATATTGATGTGTGAATATATTATGTAATAAGAGGGGTGTTATCATGGTAGTTACGATAAACAAACAAAGGATTCATATGAATTGGAAAAGATGGATGTGAAGATTAAGACAGATGTAATCAAAAAAAGAAAAGGAATAAGACGTTCATAATATTCAGTTTAGGTATCCGGTGATCAAGTCGTAGGCCAAGGTAAATATAGAGGCTGGATATACTTTTTCAGGATACATAAGTTTGGTTTTCGAGAGTTGATCCAGATGGCTTCTGCTAAGTAGTGTAACCGTAATCTAGCTCCTTGAGGTAAATTTTTTTGGGAATTCGATTTAAGACAGAGAAAGCTTGATCTATTTTGATATCATGTTCACTATCTACCAAGTGAGAAAGAATAGTGCTGTTGATCGATTTAATAACATTTTTTCCTAACCATGCTGGTACATGTTCGCAAACACGGAACAATAAAGCCTTCTATGTACGGCCTATGTAAATAGCTCCACAGGAGCAGTTGAATTGGTATATACATATGGACGAGCTCATCATGGATAACCTATCGTTGATTCGTTGTATGAGTACTGATTTACTTGAGAAAGTTATATGTAGCTTGGCGGTATGAAATGTCGTTTCAACAAATCTTTTTTGAGTTGACGTGCTATAATACCTCCTTTAAAGTTTAGTCTTAGATATAAAGTTTTATTTTTACTAAGTCACAATTAATTAATTCATATTCACTTGATATTGTTTTACTTGAATCTTCCCATTGATGTTTAGGACTGAAATTGATCAGTCTCTCATATTGGCATATGTGCATACTGTGCGTATTGCCTCGATATTGCCTGAGATGCAGGCACATCCAGCTGACGAGTCCCAAATAGGACGAAACGCGGGTCCTGGATTCCACTGCTAGCCACTATCCATCTTTGCTTATAATTAATTCACATATTTTTAAAGAAAATACTAATATAATTGATATGATGGGAAGGAAAATCAATATTCGATTGATTTACTTAATATGAGTTTTATTCATCATTACATTCTTTTGATTCAATGTAACGATGATTACTCAATGTAGTATTTATTTTCTTTTCTCGTATGATATTTATTCTGTATAATATACAATATTCTTGTATTCGATTGACTATGAACTATACTCAGCATTTGTTATAACTGTGAGTATTTTTCATGTATGTGATTTTATTCTAATTATTAATCAAAACGGGTGTACAATCAATATATAAACGAGTATATTTTCTACTAAAGAGACTTCGCTCTTTTCTCTGGTTGCTGCAGAATACACTTCTTATTTCAAGCTTGGACTTCTCCCTCTATAACGGGGCTGGGGCGCAGCTCACTGGTCATTGGTCATCGAATTTCGTTCTCGTTCGCAAATCTAAGTGAACTCGTTAAGCTTCAAACCTAACAATAATAATGTCAATATTTGTTTCCTATAATAATTGTGAAAATAACATACAATCCATGGTGTTATATCAGTCATCATTGAATAATGTCTATCAAAATTTAATGTCAATGATAAAGTGAAAAATACTTTTGATTAAATGCTAATTTTTTCTTTTAAATTCTCTATGTGTTAATATACTACTTAAAAGAGAGAAACAAAAAAGAAAGAACTGGGATAACATCAATTAGATTAAATTACATTGGAATGAAAAATTGAGATAAACTAAAATACACATAAGAAATATTGAATGAAACTTAGAAAAGAAAAAAAAACAAAAAAAGATTCATGAATTAAAACATTTAAAAATGGGTTATTTGATTCAAATGATTATAGGATTGATTATATAAATAGTTGTCAAGATAAATGTACTTCATATAAAAGAAATGAAATATACTCAAGATAAGATC